CTGACCTGAGCCTGACCTGAGTCTGGCCTAACTCTGACCTGAGCCTGACCTGACTCTGACCGGAATCTGACCTGAACCTGACCTGAGTCTGACCTGACTCTGACCGGAGTCTGACCTGAACCTGACCTGAGTCTGACCTGAGTGTGACCCGACTCTGACCTGAGTCTGACCTAACTCTGACCTGAGCCTGACCTGAGTGTGACCTGAGTCTGACCTGACTCTGACCTGACTCTGACTTGAGCCTGATCTGATTCTGACTTGACTCTGACCTGAAACTGACCCGAGTCTGACATGAGCCTGACCTGACTCTGACATGAGTCTAACCTGAGTGTGACATGAGTCTGACCTGAACCTGACCTGAATCTGACCTGACTCTGACCTGAGTCTGACCTGAGCCTGACCTGAGTGTGATCTGAGTCTGAACTAAGTGTGACCTTAGTCTGACCTGAACCTGACCTGACTCTGACCTGACTCGCCTCTGACCTGAACCTGACTTTGACCTGAGTCTGACCTGAGCCTGACCTGAGTTTGACGTGAGTCACATAAAAATCCCACAACATGAAACAGTTTTCTGCAAGTCATTCTGGGTCTAAAAGCTGAAGCGCCTGCTCGCTGCAGTCCCCACCTCATCAAAGTCAGCGATGATCTCGTTGAGGAGCCGCAGACACTCCACGCCCTGGTTGTTCATCTCAGTCTGCGAGTAGAAGTCGGCGAATCCTGGGATGGAGGCGAACATGACGCCCACGGCATCGTAGGACTGGGAGTACAGCTCCTGTGAGGGACAGACAACCCTCAGTCAGCCGCTGCTTTTCCTGAAACAAACATTTGGATTCTTGTGCTGCTGATGATTCTAAGACATCTGAATCTGAATCAGCAGCAGAGGGAAGCTGAAGGTCCAGGATGTCAAGAAACCCCCTAACTCTGTCAGATGAAGGAGAAAAGAAAACGTTGAAAAGAACTCATTCATCAAGGACCGGAGACACTGTTGAGGACAGGAATGTGTCCAGTTTGGACAGGGAGGACAGGTGGTTTGGCAGAGGATGGACACCTCTTTGACTCGTCTCTCTGGGCCGTTCCACATCCATCCACACCTGAAAACACGACAGCTCTCATGTTCGCCTCCTTAGGAAGCATTCAATCGGGAACAACGACCCAAACAAGTCACAGGACGGAGGGCCGGGTCAGAGACTCGTGGGACTGAATCGTTAGAAAAACGACTTGTAAGCCTGGAATTCCCAGTCCATGATCAGACCTGAAGACGCTGCTCAGGAGATATGTCCAGATGTCTTCTATGCAGCCACTTAGAGCAATCTATAGCAGTTGCCCATATAAGCATATACTTGGTATAACCTTTGACCTTGACCTTGAAGCTGATGGATCAGAAGTTATGGGCAGGACAGGAAAGTTTATGGATACACGGACGGACACTAAACCCTAACACATCTGCCTTCGACGGCCGTGCAAAGACTGTGGACCCTCGTTATTAACTGCACCTGTATTTCACCTGTGAACATGCACCTGCTGTGTATGTTCAGGTGCATGTGCATGTGCATGTGCATGTGTATGTGCACGTGCAGGTGTCCTGCAGGAAGGATTGGACATCCCTCAGAGGTGAATGAGCAAAAACACACAAAGTGAAAATCCGAAGCAGTCAAAGACAGAACCGGTGCTTCACATGAAAGTGTCGCAGAAACTCCGTTTTCCAGAAACATCCAGTGGAGTTCCAGTCTCCTCCACCAGGGGGCGGTGTTGTCCCATAACATCCAGCACAGCAGGCCTGCTGACCGGAAGCAGCAGGAACAGCAGTGATCCGTCCTGTCATTATGGGGTTTGTAATAACAGGGCGATGAGCAGAAAGTTCAGAGTTAATAATTCAGGAGACGATCCAGTGAACGACACACGTCTTAAACATCCTCACTGATGTTCTGCACGCCTGATGGGCGGAGCCAAACTCTACACTGGAAACCTGGAAACAGCTGGCCTCATTGAACTCATCTGCTTCTTTAGCTGAGTCACTTTAAGCCCACATTAGTCAGCATTTAATTTGGACAGTCGCTCCTTAAATACACCTCAGGACAGGTCTTGGTTCTGCGACAGGCGGAGGGAACCCGGATCCACCGTGCCTGATCTCAGACTTCAGACCGTGCACACGACAACACACGAATAAAGCACGAACAGAGAAATCCCCTGCAGCCATTCCTTTCCTTCTCTTTAGTCGCTTTGGTTGCCATGGTTACGCAGCGAGCCTCGGCAGGAAGTTGAATAAGTCAAACCTTCATGAAGTCGAACACCAGCCACCTTTAGCTCCTAACCCCCGCTGCAGCTAAAACCAGCCGAACATCAAACACAGATGAAAAAATAAAAAGCTGCTTCACTCCGACACATTCTGCTGAATAATTCTTCAATATTTATTGTCTTATTCATATTGTGTCTCTCAGCAGAACGAGCATCCTGAGCAAGCTGTGGTGGTCATCTTGGCACAAAAACTTAATCAGCTGGAGACTGCTGAAAGTCGTATTCAAATCCTTCAACTGGTTCATGAGATATTTGGCTAACAGGGAAGGTCAAACGAAGCTTGTAAACTTATGGAATGCGGTGAACTCTGTTCCAGGTGACAGGTAACGATCACCTGATCAAAAACCACGTCGCTCCATCTGAGCTAAAGGTCTGCAGATGTTAACATCTGCTCAAGTGATCGGAGGAAACAGAAGATATCGGCTGTCAGATCAGCAGCGTGATCAATAATCCAACCAGAATTAGGACCTAAACTCATCTGACTGATGCATTTTTAATCTCGTTCCTCGTTTTCTGGACCGGCTCAGCAGCAGAGATCATCTCCTCCTGACATTCGGAATTCAGCAGAGCTTTATTTTGAAAGAGCATCGGGGTAGACAAAGACGAAGATGAGGACAATACGGCGATTTGACTCCGACATGTGATAACTGCACAATTACCAGGGAGTTTGTTAATCCAGAACAACGAAGCCCGCAGAACTAATTAGTGCGGAGAGTTTCCGAGCTCGGGCGGAGAGGAGCCGTTTACAGAGCGGTGATGGAGCTTCGACCACAAGTCTCCTCCTGCCGGCCGGCAGCTCCTCACCAGATATTCAGTTACAACGAGACGGAATAAGGGCGACACCGCACGAGCATTTTGAAGCGCCGCTCTTACGACTCGCCCGTTATTCTTTCATTTATTCTCTAAATTTCAGGTTCCGCCTGCAGCTTTGAGAAAACATCAAAATGTGATCGTAAAGCGACCTACGACTGTTCAAAACCTGCAGGACGTGAGACGACGGCAAGAAAAAGGAACAGCTGAACAGTTAGCAGACAAACAGGAACAGAAACAACGAGAATCCGTCTTAGTTCGGCTACTTTTAGCTCTCGTGTTAGCCTTTTGCTTCAAGTTTCAGCATTTTACTACTTTTAGCTAGCATTTTGCTTCTTTATCTTTAGCTAGTGCTTTGCTCATTTTACCTTCTAGCTAGCGTTCTGCTTCTTTTAGCTTCAACAGTTTAGTTTCAGCTTTTTCAGTAATTGTCAGCAGTCGTTCAGCTTTCAGTTTTTATTCTAGTTTGTGTATGAAAAAACCAACAGATATAAAGCAGCTTAATATACAAACTTTTTAGTGGTGTTGATTAACTGAAGTATATTTCTGAGTTCAGCATCTTTTCCTGAGTCTTCAGCTCTGGTTAGATAAAATCACACTTTCGCCTGTTTTACGTTTTAGTTTGTTCCAACTGCTAAAACAAAAAACCCCAAAGTGAGCTCTTTAACAGCTTAATGAGGAACGAGTCTTTTAGTTTCAAATGCTGGAAGATTTCTTATTTTAAAGGGTGCAGCGACAGTTTGAGGTTCAGTCTCTGGTTTCCCGGTAGAGGCGGGAATCACCGTGGCAACCAGTGACTCAGCAGATTCTGAGACTCCAGAAATTCTGCAAAATTTGAAACGTTTTGTCAAAATCTGAACTTTTAAATGGAGGACAACTGAACAAGAGCCTCTTCAGACTGTAGAACTCAAACATCAAACAGGAAGAGGTTGTAACAGGGAGTTTCAAAATAAAGCTTGTAAATTGGTCTATAAAATAAAAGTTTCAAAACGGGACTGTTTCAGCTGGTTGTTTGCCACTTTGTTTTAAACTGAATAAACGCTCGATTAATTTTGGTTGTTTTAAATAAAAAAGATAAAAACCGGTTCCATTCGAGGGTTTCTACATGTGAAAGGCTAAAGGGCACGAGAGGAGCCGAAGTTTGACTCCACGCACAGCCGAGGGCAGCTCAATCACTGCGAGCCGGCTGGCTGAGCTCTGGGCTGCCGACGACAACATGTTATTAAAATCAAATCAAAGCAGAGATTTCCGCCTGAATGAACCGCCCCGACCGCTCGCTCTCCGCTCGCTCAACACGCTTTGAAAAGCAATTACAGACGTTTTCTTCATCGGCTGGAAAAAACCAAAGCTCAGCGAATTCAATGAAGTGGATGAAAAGAACGGCGATGAAAGCAGGTTTTTAATTTCCGAGCGCTTCTGAGAACAAGGCCGGAGGTGTGGAGATGTCAAAGTGGAGGTTCTGAGCAGCTCTGCGGTCGTCGTGGGTTCAAACACGGCCTTTGAACGTTCGGCTTCATATCAGCTGAACTATTTCAAACGTTCGGCTTCCTATCAGCTGAACTTTTTTAAACGTTTGCTTCATATCAGCTGATCTTTTCTAAACATTCTGCTTCATATCAGCTGAACTTTTCTAAACGTTCTGCTTCATATCAGCTGAACTTTTTTAAACGTTCGGCTTCATATCAGCTGAACTTTTCTAAACGTTCTGCTTCATATCAGCTGAACTTTTTTAAACGTTCGGCTTCATATCAAATGAACTTTAAAAAAATAATCTAAAATAGATCTGAGGACGTTTGACTGCTGAAGCCGAACCGACAGACCGACTCAACACAGATGATATTAAATGCAAATGAGAGTTGTATAATTGCTTAAATTAGCTAAAGAAGCTAAAACTGTGCTGTTAAGGTTAAGAGGAAAAAAGAGGCTAAAATCAACAGAACACAATTTAAGAGCTAAAGATGACCAAAAACAGCTAGAAAAGCCCAACAGTAGCTACCAGTAGCAAATATGTAGCTCACCAGCACAACAGAGACAAAAAGCAATGCAATAGTAGCTAAAAGCAACACAACAGTGGCTAAAAGCAAAACAGTAGTAGCTAAAAGCAGTAAAACACTAACAAAAAGGTAGAGCATTATCTAACATAGCAGCAGAAAAAAGTAGCACAATAGTAGCTAGAAGCTAAAAGTAGCACAACACTAGCTAAAAGCAGCAGAACATTAGCTAGAAGCTGAAAACTACACAATGCATAAAAGATAAACACAGCATAACTGTACCTAAAAACAGCACAATAGTAGCTAAAACTAAAAGTAACATAAAAGTGGCTAAAGGCAAAACAATAGTGGCTAAAAACAAAACATTAGCTTCAAAAGGTAGAATATTAGCGAACATAACAGCTGCTCAAAGCAGCACAACAGAGGCAAAAAGCACCACAATACTAGTTAAAAGCAACAGAACACAATTTAAGAGCTAAAGATGACCAAAAACAGCTAGAAAAGCCCAACAGTAGCTACCAGTAGCAAATATGTAGCTCACCAGCACAACAGAGGCAAAAAGCACCACAATACTAGCTAAAAGCAAAAGAACAGTAGCTAAAATCTAACAGCAACACAGCTGTAGCTAAAAGCAGCAGAAAAGGGGATTGAAGCCAAAAAGAGCACAACAGTATCTAAAGCTAGCAAAAACAGTGACTGAAAGTAGCTAAACTGTTGCCTAAAGATAAAAGTTGCAAAAAGGTAACAACAAAAATAACGTGTCATAATAGTAAATAAAAGATAAATGTAGCATACCAAGCGCTAAATGCTAATGCAGCTTAGGAAGACAAAAGCAGAGCGAGTAGCTAAAGCCGATTTCAAGGAGAACGAAGTTTTAGCAGGAACTCTAGAGTTTTAATGTCATTCTATGAGGAATGTTATTTTGAAAAGTACAAAAGTGACAAAAAGCAAAAGTGTCAGCGCTCACCTCCTGGACGAGCCGAACATTCTGATTTATGAACGAGTGAAAAACACAACGTCTACAGAAATACTTCAGCCTGTAAGAAGAAACTACAGAAATACTTCAGCCTGTAAGAAGAAACTACAGAAATACTTCAGCCTGTAAGAAGAAACTACAGACAGGAAAACGCTGAGTCAGCCTTCGGTCAGGAAGTGAGTCAGCAGGTTTCGTGCTGACCTCGTTGTCCCGGTCCTTCTCCAGGAAGTGGCGTGCCACGTGGCTGGGCAGGATGTTCCTCAGCATGTTCTCGTTGTGTTCTCGCAGCTCCTTCATCTCGTTGATCTCCTCCTTGGCCTGGACTCGCCACAGGAAGTCCAGCCGGGCCGTGTACTCCAGCTGAACACAGAACAAAAACAAGCTGCTTCAGGGTTACGCTTTCAAAATGATGACATCACTGAGTAACATGCATCCGTGTTAGGCATCTGTGTCGCTCTGTTAGCAAAATAACTCGTGAACCAATGAACTTGAGAGCTGTGGTGAAAAGCCTGAGCTCAGCGGCCTCATCCGGCAGCTTGTCTTCAAATCTGACAGGAAAGGACCATCGTAGCCAAGAAGTACGAAAGCTTTGTTGTAATTCTGACTAACCATGTGCAGGTAAACAGGTAAACAGGTAAACAGGTAAACAACCACCTGTTTTTCTCACAAACTTAATGCCACATATTTTAAATCTTCAACAGTCAAACACAGAAAGCTCCAAATCGCATCCCCTTCATGTTCCCAGAGCCGGCCTCAGGCCTGATTATTTATTTAAAGAGAAGTTCTGCTGATGGACGAGCGGAGCTGCAGTTCTGGAACGAGCCGCCGAATTAAAAGAATGAATCAGCTCTGCAGCGACGAGCCGCTGCCATCGATCTGAGGAGCTTAATGAGTCCTTCAATTAGCTTTTTCTGAACGGACAATTAATACGACGTCGTCTGAAGCCACCAGAGCCGAACAGGTCCATGGAGGAAGAGAGGGAATCAAATCATCATCGGTCGTGAAAATTCAACTCTGGTTCTGCTGAAGGGGTTCTGAGCAGCGTTCAGATTAATCATCAGTTGGAGCCTTAACGAAGGATAACTTCAGTCCAACGCTCCCTTCTTCTAATTAACGTCAAGTCTGTTTGGAAGGAGCAGAAATGAGACGTTGGCCGGCAGAGAGTGTTGGAGTCAGTCGATGACCAACGCGAGCGCCGCGGGGGTTTCTACTCACCCTGAGAGGAGGACGGCGTGTCCCCGGCGTTAATAAACGTTTAACTCACGTTAATAAATGTTTAACTCGAGCTGCTGTCAGCCCAGAGTCCGATCACCGCAGGAAACGAGCAGCTGATCGACGCCTCGCTGCCCTCGGCTCTGGGACCGGGAGGATCCTGCTGCTGCGAAGCCGCTCCTCCGGACTCGTTTCACCTTAACGGCATTACTTTGTTTTGTTTTTTTTTCATTTGCAGCGTTTGTTGAATCGGGTTTGAAATTTTTCACTGACGTGGTTCAAAAGAAACGAGCGTCAGTCCAAACTGGACTCATCCTCGAGTTTGTGGATGCTGTGATTCGGTTCCAGTCTGACTCAGCCGAGCTGGGCTTCATTTTGTCCTCCGTTCAGCTTTTGTTCCAGTCCAGAACGTTTGACTGGTTTCTGGAACACAGTCTGCCACGTTGCTGGTCCACCTGGTCTTCATCCCTGCTGCGCTGGAACACAGATGGTCAGATCTGATGCTTTGGAGTGATCTGACTTTCTCCTGAGATCACAAAAGCTCTTCCTGGTTTCAGACCTATCGGGACAAATCCAGCAACTCTTTCTGGTGTTGGAGACTCGGGAGTCCTCTGTCATGGTTTTAGGTAGACCTAACCCAGGTAGACAGAGATGCAAGGGACCCGGACCAGGTGTAGAATAATGCTCCACTGAGGAGTGAATGAAGACAGAGGGGGTAAGTGAAGAAGAGATGGGAGGCTGCAGAGATAATGGAACAGGGAACAGCTGTGTGTGTGGGCGTGGCCTGACTGAAGAGCAGGGACTAACAGTGGAAACGTACTGGGAGTAATGAACTGGTGGCAACAGGGAAACACAGAAACAGAACTAAAACATTGAAAAACTCTGATCTTTGGCTTCTTGTGAGCAACTGCCCATCCCAACGCACCCGTCTGTTTTCAGTCAGCTGTCTGTTTTCTGTTACTGGTCTGCTCCGGCACATTTCAGTTTGGTTGCCACGTTCCCCGTCAACGTTTGTTCTCAGTGTCCCTGCTCACCCCTAAATGACCTTCACCATCGTTCATTGCACCATGACACATGAACATGACTGTACATTAGGTGATAATGGCATATCATGACTTCTGGCTACTTTAGCTACTTTCTACGTCAAGGAGCTGATAAGGCTGGGCACGATCGTCCCAGTCTGTGTCACCATGCATCTATGCACCAGAATGGTGGTTCCCAAACCTTTCTGCTTTCAGCTCACAGGATCATGACCCTGAATATACTACTGAGGTAAACAAACAATGATACTGAGATTTTAGAAAAAACATACTATATATATCTTTTAATGTATGTATAGCCGTTATTTCTTTTACTTTGTAACGAGTATGGATAAAAGTGCTATCAGTGATATATTTTTGATTTTTGTAGATCTTCAAGTCCTCACACTTGGTGTTTCAAGACCCCATGTGGGATCTCAGCTCCACTTTGGGCACTGCTGCACTAGAAGATCTTGACTCATTGCCACAGGCTTCACGCTGTTGTTTCCACGCCCTCATCAAGATCACAGCCGAACCCTTCGGCCGGTCCAGCATCAGATTCTTGTCAACCAAACCACGCTGGTCCTGGACTTGCTCAGTCAAATCATGGACCTGTCACACCTATTGTTAATGGGTTCCCTGAAGTCCTCACCCAGTCCTTGCAGAGATCATCTATGTTTTGGCTGATATTTACACAGTGAGGAGGCCATCATCAGCGTGAAGCTAACCCCAGAGAGAGATTTCTTTCATGGAAGCTCACCGTTGTGACAGAGGCAAAGCGCTACACGCTGAACCTGAAGGCTTCGTCTTGAGACTTTGGTTCACTTCTGCTCTCTTGCTTTGCCGATTCAAGTGTCTTCAACCTCGAGTGGCTTCCTGCCATCGGGAGTTTTTACCACAGTTGTCTCTGTACCAGAGTGTGCACATTAAAGTTTCAAGCAAACAAGACTAAAATATTCATCCTGTTATTAAAACCCACTCCCATCTGGTCACAACCATCTGTGGCTGGGAGGAGAGGAGATTTCAGACGCTCCGAACTCTTACGTTGTCGTTCTGGAAGCCAGAATTTTACCTATTTTCAGAAAAGAGGAGATCATTTTGGACCAAACCAGATTGTTTTACACAGTCCTGTTGTAAAACTTCTGCAGGAACCATAACAGAGATGAGCTTGTTCATTTAGTGGATTGGACCAAAACCAGAGGCTGGCTCACATAAAGCAGTGGTTACTTTGGAGACACACACTGGTGATTCCTCTGGTCCAGTTCATGAATAAGTCCTCCTATGAGGACAATATTCTGGATTTATCTTGAGGACTTCATTTATGAGACAATAAAGGATTAGGTTCATTTTAATTACAGTGAGGAAATCCTTACTGCCTAACACATCCTAAGGTAAAGGCACCCAAACGGCTTCATCTAAACCCCTAAAACTGTTGAACAGACTTGCAAACACCAACAAACACTGATGTCTGGACCGTATGTGTAGGAGCTACACCTGTGAGTTCTGCACGAGATTAAAAGTGGATGCTCTTTTGGTGAATGTTGGAAAATTCCCCATAACCAGGCAATAAAGTGGAGTCAGTCAGTGAAAGGAATGATAAAAAGCTGAGAGCTTGGAGCGGCACAGAATGTGTGACAACTCTTTGAGTTTTTTACTGCCCAGATATCACAAGCTACACATTTAACAAGCCCAAAATACAAGTGAGACGGTGGTAATGAAGCAGGTCATGAGCTAAGATAAACGGAGAGAAACAGTCCGTTCCTTTTCTCCGCTCTAATTGGCTTTTCTTCCCGTCACGATCAAATCACTTACATTTCCTGTGAAAGAAGCACTAACTAATGTTTTAATGCCTTTCTTTCCCAGAGAGGACGGTGAGTGTTCAGAAACAAAGAACGGAGAGCCATTATTCTTATTTCAAGGTTCAGCCGAGGCTTTCTTAGACCTCTGCTTGGTGTTAATGAGACCCAGAGTTTCTACCAACAACCGTCTGACTGAAGAACCACGGAGGTCGAATCACTGCACAGAGCTCAGAATCTTAAAAAAGTGCTTAGATAAGAGGAAACTTGCACAACACTTCCTCTTGTGCCATTCCTGCCACGTAGCAGTACTTTTTTAAAGTGACCTCTTAAAGAAAATTTCAGTTTGAAAGCATCAATATAAATAAAAACTCTGCTCTACTCACATCACAATATACTCCTGCCATGACCTAGGTGCTCGCAGCTTAAGTAAATGGTGATGCAAGGGCGCTTGCAGACACATTTAGGACAAATGCCAGTGTCTTACAGAGCTGTGACACTTCAAAACTAGTTGGAGGCTCAGTACGCCAACTAGGGGACTGCCTTCCCCCACCATGATGACATCTGTGTCCCATCAACAGGCCACGATCAGTGAAGTCGGGCACCCAACTCTCCACTTCCACCACAGTCAGGACTGGTGCACCTCAAGGCTGTGTACTGAGTCCACTCCTTTTATGCTCTCTTTACACGCCATTCCAGTTCACTGACACCATAACAAAGTCAGACTCATTTCATCGCAGAACAAGACACACCACAGAGAGGAAGTCCAGCCACTGGCAGAGTGGAGCTCAACACAACAACAACACGGAAGGTCATCACAGACTTTTGGAAAACTAGAAGAGACCACCTCCTTTGATGAAATGAGAATTTATCAGAAGCTGTGGGTGTACTTCTATCATACAACAAAAAATAATTATTCTGGACTGGAATTGAACACGGAATGTAAGTAAACCTTAATGTTTTTGGTGCAAGATATTCAAGTGGGGAGGAGTTACATCAAGTAGAAGAACAGAGGGAACCATTTTCTTTATGTTTTGTTTGAGGCAGAGCAGAGTGACGGATCATGGCGAGTCGAATGAGCAGTTTTATCCATCACTACGCACAGTAGTGGCCAGGGGGTGGCCATTGGTGGACATGACCACCATAAATAAATCCTCCACCACCTCAAAGAAGGAACTTTACCTATTAGCCATATTAAAACTAGAAAGCATAGCTTCCTCAAATGACAGGGGTGGTCAGTTTACCTATGGTGGTGGCCATCTTGGATTTTGACTTGGCAACCCAATTTTCAATTGTGACCATTCCTACACCTAGATGAAGCTGGAAGTCGACA